CATGTACGATGACAATCCGCTACCATAGACCTGTGCTTCCTAAACTTTGATGTACTTAGAAAATAACGGAGGTGTGGTGGGTTGCTCCTTAACATGCAAGACCCCTGTCCGGGCGGCCGCAGATTCGGTGGGGCCCAGGAACCGGCATTTTAAACAGGCATCCCGAGTGACTCCGATGCAGGCGGCCCCGGGGGAGGGGCCCTGAAGCGTCATTTAAGTGATTGCTCCCGATCCCCTTCCGCCTCCTCAAACATCACCACCCGCTCTCCCGCCAGACCCACGGTTTCAGCTCACCCCCTGACCTTCTGTCCCCAGTCCCCTGGCCTCGTCCTCCAGGCTCCTCGTCATCCCGGCCCCATCCCCCTCCGCTGGACTACTGCTCCCTGACCCCCAGCCACCCCGGCCCCGCCCTCACGAGGCCACGCCCCTGCAGAAGCCCCGCCCCCAGGCCCGCGCGGACCACCCCCCCGCCCTCACCGAGGCGCGACTCGCGCGGGGGGTTCTCCATCAGCTTCTTCAGGACCAGGGGGAAGGAGCCCGACAGGCCCCTTTCCCCAGCTGCACGCCCCGGCCCCGGGCCGGGCCCTGCCTGCGGCTCCACAGGCGGCTTCTTTCCGCCGCCCGCGTCGGACATCGTGCCCCGGACTAGGCTTGCGCGCCTGGCTTCCCCTGCCCGCCCCCGAGATGGGCCGGAGCCTTGCGACCCGCTGCAGCTGCCGACACGGGCAGCTACTGCGCAGGCGCCCAACGGCGCCCCCGCCTCCCTCCATCGCTACCCCGCCTGCGGACCGGCTCTGATGCATTAATTATTCATGAGGCCAGACCAGCTTCCCGGGATCGCGGCTCTGGATTGGCCCAGGCTGCGAGAGGGGCAGCCGCAGCTCCTCGGGCTGTGATTGGTCGGGGCAGCCTGGCTAAGCTAGACACGTGCGGGGCCAGGTGAGGACCCCGCGGAGACCCCGCCCCGCCGCCCCCGTGTCCCTTGATTGGCGCCTGGTGGAGTCTATCGTGGGCCTTCCTCCGCGAGGTCCCTTTCTTCTTACTAGTGTCCCTGCTTCACCGCTCTCTTCATAACCTCTGCCCTTCCCGACCACCGCAGCCTCTCCCTCTGATCCCTGTCTCCCAACCTTCCCGACGCGCTACCGAGGCGGGGCGGGGCTCGGAGCGGCAGCTGGCCAGAGGGACCTATCCGAGCTTCCGCTGGCTCGGCGTGGACGTCCCCCGCGGGTCACGTGGAGCCGCAGCCGAGTCTGGTCGCGTGGGGAGGGGGCAGAGGAGGAAGGCGCGGGAACAGCCAATGGAGGGCGGGGGCGGGGCCCGGGGCGGTGCACGAGGCACCGCACGTGTGGGGCTGCGGCGGGGCGGGAGGGTAAGGGAGGGACGGGCGTTTTTGTTCTGGGGATTCTGGCCAGGGTCGCGGGATTGGGACGCAGAGCCCAGCCCGCACTTCTGCTCCCAAGAGACCCAGAGGTTTCCTGAGGGCAGGACCGGGGACGGGGACCTGCCGAGATGTAGGGATGGCCCGAGCAGGCCTGGCCGCCCCAGAACTGGGTGTCGGGTTGCCAGAGGCTCCCGGGTTTCGGTGCGGCGGGCGTGGCCGCCGGATAAACACTAGCGTGGAGGGAGCATTCCTGAGGCCCCATCCTGAGCCAGGGCCCGGGTACATGCTTCCGCCCTCCCACTTACTAGCTTGTGACCTTGGGAAAGTCCGGTTGGTTCACTGGCGCTTGTTTCCTAGGCCATAAAATTAAGAGGTTGGGCTACAGAATCTCTACAGTCCCAAACAGTTGTGAAATTCTGTTCCTTTCTAGGATTCTCCCTTCCTTTACCTGGAAAACAAAAACCTCCTTAACACCAGATACCGATCGCACATTTTGTAGAAGAACCACCACTTGTCTTAAAATATAAATCCTCCTCAGGAGTTCATAGTAATCTGTAAAAATGTAATATGTGGGCCGGGCGCGGTGGCTCAAGCCTGTAATCCCAGCACTTTGGGAGGCCGAGGCGGGTGGATCACGAGGTCAAGAGATCGAGACCATCCTGGTCAACATGGTGAAACCCCGTCTCTACTAAAAATACTAAAAATTAGCTGGGCATGGTGGTGCGTGCCTGTAATCCCAGCTACTCAGGAGGCTGAGGCAGGAGAATTGCCTGAACCCAGGAGGCGGAGGTTGCGGTGAGCCGAGATCGCGCCATTGCACTCCAGTCTGGGTAACAAGAGCAAAACTCCGTCTCAAAAAAAAAAAAAAAAAAAAAAAAGTAATATGTGGAGCGGTACACAAATACAAAGTTGCTCCTAAACAGCGCTGAGAACTTTGTACCCCTTTATGGTACAAATCAGACTCTGCTGCAAACCCAGGCAACAGTAGACTCCCGGCTTAACTCCCGGAAGGCAGAGAGCTTGGCTTGTTTATCCAGCATCCGAGCAGCAGCCCACCCCTTCTAGCAGAAGGGGTTAGCGGGTGGCAGAGTGATAGTCCTTGGTTGAGGGGGTAGATGGGTGGTGATCCAGACACCCACAGCCAGCTGAAAGTTGTCAAGCTGATGCAATCAGAATTTTGCTAGGGCTGGACGCAGTGACTTAAGGAGGCTGTAAGCCCAGCCCTTTGGGAGGCCGAGACAGTCGGATTACCTGAGGTCAGGAGTTCGAGACCAGCCCGGCCAATAGGGCAAACACTACTATAAGTACAAAAAGAATTAGCTGGGCAGCTAATTGGTGGGGGCGCTTGTAATCCCAGCCATTCGGGAAGTTGAGGCAGGAAAATAGTTTGGAACCCAAGAGGTGGAGGTTGCAGTGAGCGGAGATAGTGCCACAGCACTCCAGCCTGGGCGACAGAGAGAGACGAGACTCCATCTCAAATAAATAAATAAATAAAGGCCAGGCACAGTAGCTCACGCCTGTAATCCCAGCACTTTGGGAGGCTGAGGCAGGCAGATCAAGAGGTCAGGAGTACAAGACCATCCTGGCCAACATGGTGAAACCCCGTCTCTAAAAAATAAATAAATAGGACTTTGAGTGGTGGTAGGGACATATGATGAGTCTGATTCCACAATTCAAGCTCTCACTGCTACTCTAATTAATTCTCAGTCATTTTCTGAATCTGATGCCTCAATTGCTTTACATCTTCAGGCCTCCTTTTCCTTTTATGTCAAATGTAGTTAGGGCAGGCTCTACCTTATGGGTTTTCTTTTTCTTTTTTTGGTGGGGGGCGGGTGGACGGAGTTTTCCTCTTGTTGACCAGGCTGGAGTGCAATGATTCGATCTCCACTTATGCAACCTCCACCTCCCAGGTTCAAGCGATTCTCCTGCCTCAGCCTCCTGAGCAGCTGGGATTATAGGCATGCACCACCACGCCCCGCTAATTTTTTTGTATTTTTAGTAGAGATGGGGTTTCATTCACCATGATGGCCAGGCTGGTCTCAAACTCCTAACCTCAGGTGATCAACCCACCTCAGCCTCCCAAAGTGCTGGGATTACAAGCATGAGCTACCGCAACTGGCTACCTTATGAGGTTTCTGTGAGCCTATTTGTACAGGTGCACGGTTGCAAACCTTCAACAAATGTAGTTTTCATAATTTTACTAAAACTGGTTGGCATATCTGTTATCCCAGAGGCCAGTATGGTGCTTGTGTCACTCTCTGTAGTGAAAATAGTTAATCGCATACAGAAAATCTGTTGTGTTGTAGAATTGTTAGTGAGAATTCTGTGTGTGGCTAAACTTAAACATCTTTAGGGGAAGCTAAACTAGACAAAGGGCATTCCAAGGAAATTGATTAAAGCAATACAGGGGTTGGGCTCAGTCGCTCACGCCTGTAATCCCAATACTTTGAGAGACCAAGGCAGGCAGATCACCTGAGGTAAGGAGTTTGTGACCAGCCTGGCCACCATGGTGAAACCCTGTCTCTACTAAGAATACAAAAATTAGTGGGTATGGTGGCGAGCGCCTGTAAACCCAGTTAGTTGGGAGGCTGAGGCAGGAGAATCTATTGGCCTAGGAGAAGGAGGTTACAGTGAGCTGAGATCATGCCACTACACTCCAGCCTGGGCAACAGAGCAAGACTCTGTCTCTCTCTCTCTCTCTCTCACACACACACACACACACACACAAACACACACACACAAATTATATATATATATATGAAGCTTTTTTAAAAACCTGCTAATTTGGTCATAGGGAGATTTGATGGCTTAGAGTCATGTGTTTGTAGTCTCATGGCTAATATGACATTATTGCTGGGAAGAACAAGCCATTCTCAAAGTATTAGATGATTAATGATAACAGTGGAAGGTTATAACACGTGTTTATGAGAAAGATGGGCTGTAGTAAGAGGAAGTGAAGATTTAGCTTTTCTTTTTTTAGCTATCATTATTCTAAATGAATAATGCCTACTCCACTCATCTCCTAGCCCAGAGCAACTACCCTAACAGGCAAATGATGCTGGTAAGAAGTGAGACCAGCAGGTTAAGCCTCCAGAACTTGGTGTTCATGTGCTGACACTCCCCAGAGAGGGTTTTTCCCCCTGGATAACCAGAGGGTAAATGATGTGTCACAAATACTGCAGGAGCATTGCAAACATGTTCTCTGTCTTGCTTAATTGCAATCTGTGAGGTTAGCTACATTGCCAACTTGCAGCATTAAACAGTGCCATCCTGGAGATGGGAGCCATTATGTTCTCTTCATCCTCAACCACAGCAGCCTCTCTCTACCTTTGTCTCCTATCACTAAAGTGGGAATAATGGGGTGACCTTGCCCAGTCTCTTAGTGGAGGAATAAATGTTGGGAGAAGTAGTTAGCTGATTTCCATAGTTTGTGAGCCCTACAAAGGAGTAAACCCCATAAGAACATGTTACTACCCGATTAAGACTTCAAAGGCTGAGATATTAGAGAGGCTTTTTGGGGGAAAAAAGAGAGAAAAAATAAAGGTATGATGTGGAACAGCGGCCCAGGCTGGGCAACAGAGCAAGACCTCATCTCTACAAACTCTAAAAAATTAGCCTGGTGTGCTCTTTTCAGCAGCATACAAATACTAACATTGGAATGATAAAGAATTTACATGGCGCCTGTGCAAGGATGACATGGAAATTCGTGAAGTGTTCCATTTTTTCAAAGAAAAATTAGGCTGGGTGCAATGGATGGGTGGATCACAAGGTCAGGAGTTCAAGACCAGCCTGGCCAAGATGGTGAAACCCCTTCTCTACTAAGGCTGGACTCGGTGCCTCACACCTGTAATCCCAGCACTTTGGGAGGCCAAGGTGGGCGGATCACAAGATCAGGAGTTTGAGAACATCCTGGCCAATATGGTGAAACCCCATCTCTACTAAAAATACAAAAATTGGCCAGGTGTGGTGGTGTGCACCTATAGTCCCAGCTACTCAGGAGGCTGAGGCAGAAGAAAAATCACTTGAACCCAGGAGGCGGAGGTTGCAGTGAGCCTAGATTGTGCCACTGTACTCCAGCCTGGCAACAGAGCGAGACTCTGTCTTAAAAAAATAATAATAAATAAATATATATATATATATATATATATACAAAAATTAGTCAGGTACAATGGCAGGCGCCTGTAATGCCAGCTACTCGGAAGGCTCAGGCAGAAGAATCGCTGGAACCCGGGTGGAGGTTGCAGTGAGCCGAGATTGAGCCATTGCACTCCAGCCTGGGCAACAGAGAGAGACTCCATCTCAAAAAAGAAAAATTAGCTGGATGGTGGTGCACCTGTAGTCCCAGCTACTCAGGAGGCTGCGGTGGGAGGATCACTTGAGCCCAGGAGATCAAGGCTGCAGTGAGCCATGATTGTGCCACTGCACTCCAGCCTGGGTGACAGAGAGAGACCCTGTCTCAAAAACAAGCAAAAACCAAACAAAACCACAGTGGTTTCTTTAGGGAAGTGGGGGTCATGGGGCAGCAATGACTTTGTGAGCAAGGGAGGCAGACCTGGGGGAGTCCCTCCTCAGTTGCTGAACAAGCCACATGGCCATGGGCAAGTGACTTCTGTCTAAGCCTCAGTTATTTTCCTCTTGGAAACAGAGATGGATATGCCTGCTTCACAGAACAGTTGGGAGGATTACCTGTGATGAGCAATGCCAAGTGCCTGCCTGGCATGGTGTAGTGTGGAGTAGGTAGGTGCCCACCCCTCCCTTTTCATTGAAGCTGTGTTGGGTCAGGAGTAGAATTATACTGTGTGTGAGGACAAGGCTGTGGGCCTGAGTGCGCCCACAAGACAAGATTGGATGTGAAATGTCCATTTTCCAGAGTTGGACTGGCTTTACATTCTACTTATGACTGTTTCAGAAACCTGCTAATCAGCCCAAGTTAAAAACTTTGTTCAGGTCTGGGCACGGTGGCTCACTCCTGTAATCCCAGCACTTTGGGAGGCTGAGGCAGGCGGATCATGAGGTTAGATGTTCGCAACCAGCCTGACCAACATGGTGAAATCCTGTCTCTACTAAAAAAATTAGCCAGGTGTGGTAATGCTTGACTGTAATCCCAGCTACTTGGGAGGCTGAGGCAGGAGAACCCCTTGAACCTGGGAGGCAGAAGTTTTGGTGAGCCAAAATTACACCATTGCACTCCAGCCTGAGCAACAAGAGTGAAACTCCATCTCACACAAACAAACAAACTTTGTTCAGGCCAGGCATGGTGGTTCATGCCTATAATCCCAGCACTTTGGGAGGCTGAGGGTGGGGGATCACTTAAGGCCAGCAGTTGAAGACCAACTTGGCCAACATGGCAAAACCCTGCCTCTTTGAAAAATACAAAAATTAGCTGGGCATTGTGGCGGGCGCCTTTAATCCCAGCTACTTTGGAGGGTTAGACAGGAGAGTCACTTGAACCCAGGAGGCGGAAGTTGCAGGGAGCCAAGATTGCACCACTGCACTCCAGCCTGGGCAACAGAATGACTCTGTCTCAAAACAAAAACAAACAAGAAAAAACTTCGTTCAGTTGCGCATATGCAGAACAAATGATTTTCATTAAGCCATTTTGCCAGTTTGGATTATTTTTACTTAAACTTGAAGTTTGGAGGAACTAAAACTCCAGCACAGGAGCCTTTGACCAGATACACTATAATGATCTCTTTGGCCATGTATTTGGCGCCAGATAGAACAGCCTCACTCTGTCTTCTGACTTATTGAAAATGGGCCATAGGCCTCAGATGCGTGAGAGCAGAAGGGTGATAAGGCTTCTTCCATTGAGCTCTCAGAAAGTCCGGTTATCTGTGTCCTTTGCCCAAATCAAATGCAGGAGAGCACAATGCTTTCCTCAGAGTAGTAACTCAGCAAAAATATACTTTTTCTTTTTTAAAAAACTCCCATCCCCTCAGTAAATATGTGTTGGTTTGCTTTGTTCTTGGTGCCAGTAGGACGGTTTAGCCAAACATTTCAGAGCTAAGTCATACGCATTTGGAGCATTAGGAACGTTAAATAACAGTCACTGTGTCTGATTCACAATTGAACCTGGAACAGCAGACATGAGCCATCCTTTGGGAAAGTCTGTCCGCACAAGCCTTGCCAGCAGCTCTCCTTCCTAGCCCACATACCTGTGCCTGGGCTCTGCGGTTTGTACCCTGGTCTCAGTGTGTTCCAGGGGAGAAGTGGTGGGTGGAGGCTCTTTACTGATGCTTGCCCTCCTTGCCAGTACTCTCAAAAGTACTCGTCTTGCATTCTGTCCATTACCAGGGTTTGGTCTGCAAATGGAGAGCCGCTCTAAGAGTGCCCTTTCCAGAGAAAAGTCCTCATCTCTGCCCTCTGTGACGACTCAAAAGCCACTACCCAATAACCACGACTTCTCCAGTCAAAGCCATGCTGTGGGGGACAGTGGTGGGGCTCTGGAGCAAGACCACCTGGGGCTGATTCCTGCTTCTACTTTAGTCGGCCCTTGAACAACAAGGGTTTGAACTGCATGCGTCCACTTACGTGTGGATTTTTTTTCCAACAAAAGTTACACTAAGTTTGCCTGCCTCTCCTGCCTCCCCTTCCACTTCTGCTACCCCTGAAACAACAAGATCAGCCCTTCTTCCTCCACCTCCTCCTCTTCCTCACCTACTCAATATGGAGACAAGGATGAAGACCTTTATAATGATTCACTTCAACTTAGTTGAGAGTAAGTGTATATTCTTTTATGATTTTCTTTTTCTTTTCTTTTTTTTTTTTTTTTGAGACACAGTCTCGCTGTGTCACCCACGCTGGAGTGCAGTGGTACTGTCATAGCTCACTGCAGCCCTGAACTGCTTACCTCAAGTGATCCTCCTGCCCCAGCCTCTGGAGTAGCTCGGATTTCAGGTGTGCACTACCATGTCTGGCTAATTTTTAATTTTTTTGTAGAGATGGGGTCTCACTATGATGCTTGGGCTGATCTCAAACTCCTGGGCTCAAGCACTTCTCCCACTTCAGCCTCCCAAAGTGCTGGGATTACAGGTGTGAGCCACTGTACCCGGCCATGATTTTCTTTCTTTTTCTTTTCTTTTCTTTTCTTTTTTCTTTTTTTTTTTGAGATGGAGTCCCACTCTGTTGCCCAGGCTGGAGTGCAGTGGCATGATCTTGGCTCACTGCAACCTCTAGCTCCCAGGTTCAAGCAATTCTTCTGCCTCTTCCTCCCGAGTAGCTGGGATTATAGATGTCTGCCACCAGGCCCGGCTGATTTTTATATTTTTAGTAGAGACAGGGTTTCATCTGTTGGTCAGGCTGCTGTCAGACTGCTGACCTCGTGATCTGCTTGCCTTGGCTTCCCAAAGTGCTGCAATTATAGGCATGAGCCACCATGCCTGGCCACCATGATTTTCTTAATAACATTTTCTTTTCTCTAGCTTACTTTGTTGTAAGAATACAGTATTTAGGCTGGATGTAGTGGCTCATGCCTGTAATCCCAGCATTTTGGGACGCCGAGGTGGGTGGATCATGAGGTCAGGAGTTCGAGACCAGCCTGGCCAACATACTGAAACCCCATCTCTACTAAAAATACAAAATTGCTGAGGCAGAGGTTGCAGTGAGCTGAGGTCATGCCATTGCACTCCAGCCTGGGTGACAGAGTGAGATTCTGTCCCAAAAAATAAAAAGAATATAGTATGTAATACATATAACATACAAAATATTTGCTCATCAAATGTTATTTGTAAGGCTTCCAGTCAACAGTAGGCTATTAGTGGTTAAGCTTTTGGGGAGTCAAAAATTATAGGTCGGGTGCGGTGGCTCACTCCTGTAATCCCAGCACTTTGGGAGGCCAAGGCAGGTGGATCACGAGGTCAGGAGATCAAGGCCATCCTAGCCAACATGGTGAAACCCTGTCTCTACTAAAAATACAAAAAAAATTGGCTGGGTGTGGTGGCGTGTGCCTGTAATCCCAGCTACTCAGGAGGCTGCAGCAGGAGAATTGCTTGAACCTGGGAGGCGGAGGTTGCAGTGAGCTGAGAACGTGCCACTGCACTCCAGCCTGGCGACAGAAAGAGACTCTGTCTCAAAAAAAAAAAAAAATTATATGCAGATTTTCTACTGCATGGGGACAGCATCCCTAATCCCCATGGTATTTAAGGGTTAACTGTATTTCTTGTGACCTTGGGCAAATGATTGACCCTCTCTGTGCCTGAGTGTCCAAAGTGAAGGAATCCATTCTGGCACAGTGCCAGAATGCCACTTGGCTCATACCATGCGCTCAGTTCAAGTTAACTCTATTGTAATTTCTGCTTGGGTTGTTCTGGGGATACCTCATTTCTCCCTACCGGTCACGTCCTCAAGAATAGTGGGTGTGGGCGGTCCTTACAGACAGGGAGATGACAGCGTCATCCTTCTTCATGACCGTCAAGGCCCTGCAGGCGCTCACCCTTCGGGTCTCTCCAGCCTCACCTCTGACTCCTCCCCCTTGCTTGCTTTCTGCAGCCACAATGGCCTCTTATTCCTCAGACCCATTTTGTCTTTCCTGCCCCAGGAAGGGCTTTTGCAGGTGCTGTCCCCATAGCCTGAAAGTTCCTCGGATAGCTGGCTTTTCCTCACCCTCCAGGCCTCCACGCCTCAGTTCAAATGCCTCTCCCCTGACCCCCCAACGCACACACAGCTGATTGTCTCTCCCCACTGAAATGCAAACACCAGGGGTAAGAATAGTGTCGGTTTCCTTCACCCAGGGCTCCTCAAGCAAAGCAAATACTCTGGAAGCACATGATGAACATCTGGGTGACCAAGAGCTACTGCCTGAGACAGCTTCAGAGCCCAGGGAGCCCTATGGGTAGGCACGAGCCTGGTGTCAGGAGGAACTGGGTTTGAATACTTCAACAACTGTATGGCCTTCCCTCTCTGAGCATCAGTGTCCTCACTCACAGAGTGCACAGATAATCATATCTCCCTTGCAGAGCCATTGCATAGTGACATAGGAGCATGCAACATAGTCCTGGCACATGCTCAGGAAAAGGTGCCTGTCGAGTCAAGAGCGCATCCTGTAGCAGCCTAGCCACCTGGAAGGGGCACTCCTTAACACTGCCGTCAACGCCTGGCACTTGGTGAGAAAGAATTTCTCACATTTCTCTGAAGGGATAGGGTGGGGGAAGGTACAGAAGAAGCCTCTGGGCTCCTAGGGTAGGAAGGAAGAAGAGAGGCTGGCCCATGTACTGGCCCTGACAGTAGCCAGTGTCTCTGAGTTCATTTTCTCACCAGGACGACAGGAGGAATGTACCATTTAGAAGGAGGTGGTGAGGAGCCGGGCGTGGGGGCTTACAACTGTAATCCCAGCACTTTAGGAGGCTGAGGTGGGCGAATCACCTGACATCAGGAGTTCAAGACCAGCCTGGCCAACATGGTGAAACCTGTCTCTACTAAAAAATACAAAAATTAGCTGGGCGTGGTGGTGGGTACCTGTAATCCCAGCTACTCAAGAGGCTGAGGCGAAAGAATTGCTTCAACCCAGGAAACGGAGGTTGCAGTGAGCCAACATGGTGCCACTGTATTCCAGCTTGGGCGACAGAGTAAGACTTCACCTCAAAAAATAAACAAGAGGAGGTAGTGAGGATTAAATGAGCTAACACGTCCAGCACATAGAAGACCCTTTCCCCTCTCCTCTTCCCTGAAAGCAAACTCCTCAATTTCTCAGTTTTGCTCTGGTTCCCAGGCTGTACATGGAGGTAAACACAGCCCTTACTCAAGCCAAGCTCAGGAGAGCCCAGGCTGTACCGAGTCCACCCTCTCGGCTCATTTCCCTCAATCCACCAAGAAGATGACACCAAGGCACCTTCTCCTGCCCCAGCAAGTCCTGCCGAGATCCTGCCTGTTATCAGGAAACTGGGCTGTGCAGGGCAGATGGCACCATGCCTCTAGGAGCCTCAGCACATGTTTCCAAGGAGACAGCCCTGTGTGTGTGTGTGTGTGTGTGTGTGTGTGTGTTTACACACCAACTTGTAACATCCAGTTCTTCAAAGGAAGCTGGAAAGAATGGAATGAGGGTCAGGTTGCAAATGGGATGTAGGTGGAAGGTGCATGATGCTAGGCCATGTTGCTGTTTGCCTTTCACAGAAAAAATCAGCACGGCAGCTCAGTTTGCAGACACTTTCACATGGGATAACTCACTTAATCCCGGCAACGAGCTCATGACACAGATATTCTTTCTGCTCTTTACAGTCTGGAGATGGAGAGGGAGGAGGGCAAGTCCCAACCAGTGGGTTGTAGAAGTAGGAGTCGTGTCCTGACTCTGATCGTAAGCCCCCTCCTCTCTTCCCAGAGCCATGCTGCCTTGCCCAGCAAGAATTCTAGATCAGGAGTGCCCCTAGGTGGGGATGTTGCCTGCCCAACCCAAAGCAAAGGCCTTGTTCAGGGTTCACAACTCCCTGAAAGGGAGGCCTGAGTGACCAGAGATGGCAGGAAGATGGGAGTGGGTGTCTCTAAGCACAGCCAAGGCCCCATGGAGGAGGGAAGGATAGCGTATACAATGCTAATAGTATGATTTAGAGACACAGGGTCGCCGGGCGCGGTGGCTCAAGCCTGTAATCCCAGCACTTTGGGAGGCCGAGGCGGGTGGATCACGAGGTCGAGCGATCGAGACCATCCTGGTCAACATGGTGAAACCCCGTCTCTACTAAAAACACAAAAAAGTAGCTGGGCATGGTGGCGCTTGCCTGTAATCCCAGCTAGTCAGGAGGCTGAGGCAGGAGAATTGCCTGAACCCAGGAGGCGGAGGTTGCGGTGAGCGGAGATCGTGCCATTGCACTCCAGCCTGGGTAACGAGAGCGAAACTCCGTCTCAAAAAAAAAAAAAAAAAAAAAAAAATAGAGACACAGGGTCTTTCCAGAAGCTGGTAGAGAAAGACATGAGAGCTGGAGTGAGCAGTCTGGAACAGAATCAACTCTTGGAAGAGGATCCTTGGGAGATAGGGTGGGATTGAAGACAGGAAGAGTGGTTTTCAAGATTTAGGGCCCAAGGACATAGAGGGGAAATTGAGTCAGGGCTTGGCCTACAGACCCACCCTTTTGCTGGAAATGGATTTCTCTGCCAAAAGGGAAGTTGTTTGAACTCATGGCCCCGAGTGAAGGCCACCAAGCAGCCATTGTCGCTGGAAGCCAAGGGAATCTGGGAGCTGATCAGCTCTGGTGGAGACAGTCTGTTTATCCAGGGATAAGAAAGAGGCAAGGTCTACATGGGCTGGGCTGGGAGGCCGAGGGGCAGCACAAGGGAGAGGGGCCCCAAGTCCAGGTTTCAGGGGGTGTCATTGAATTAGAAAGCAAGATGAGGCCCGGTGCAGTGCTCACACCTGTAATCCCAGCTACCCAGGAGGCTGAGGCAGGAGAATTGCTTGAACCCAAGAGGTGGAGGTTGCAGTGAGCTGAGATTGCACCATTGCACTCCAGCCTGGGCGACAGTGAGACACTGTCTCAAAAAAAAAAAAAAAAAAAAAAAAAAAAAAACTCCAAAAGAAAATAATTGGAATGAGAGACTATGCGGAGAGAAGAGTGTGGGGAGAGCACACCTGGAGCTTCTCACACTCCACATGGCTCTCCTCCATAGTTCCCTCCCACTGGGCGCGGCGAGATATGCTCTGCACGTGACCTAAACGTGTGCTGAAGCACAACCATTGGGCAGGAGAAAAGAGAAAATGGGGAGTTTGTAAACAGTCCTCCAGAGAAGTAACTGCCCCCTTCCACTGGATGGGAGCAGCAGAAAGTTCACCAAAGCAAGGGCACGTGGGCCTGAGAGCATCCCTGTTTTCTGGAGCACTTGGCCTCTGTGGTTTTTCTCCCATTCAAACCCCAAGGCAGAATAGTGGGAGACGGGAGAGAAGCCGCTTCAACGACAACTTCAGTACATGGTCCCTGATCGCAAGTAATTCCATAACAGTTCTGTGTGTCTTTTCACCGAGGTCTATTGCTTTTCGGGTAGACATTTCTGTTTATAAATGGTCTGGAGATTCAGGCAGCTTTGGGAAACTGATTGCAGATGAGGGGGCGGTCATGTGCTGCAGTCATTGTGACTCCTGTGGCTCTTCAACCCTCTTCCCCCCATTTTGCCTGGCAGTTGGCTGCAGGCATCTGTCAGTCCCATGGGACCTCATGCTTCTCACAGTGAGATGCCACATGAAGTGACAGGAGGTGACCCAAGACTGGCTTACACCCCTTGGACCTGCCCACCCATGCTGGACTAACTAATCCTCAGCCATGGTTTCCCAGTGCTCAGCAAAGCTCTGCCTGAAATCCTGGGCGGTCCCCTATGTGCCCAGCCCTGACTTTGCTCACCCACAGTGAGGGAGGGGGACTTTTCGGCTATTGGAGGGCTCTGCGGACCAGCTGGGAGCCAGAGACCAGCAGCTGCTGCCATACTTCAAAGGCCTTGTTATCCTCATCGGAGGAGCAGTGCCCCGAGTCACCCCGAGAACCCTTCCTGCCCTGCTGGCAGCCACGCCCTGCATGTGCATGCTAGGGGGCATCCTGGGACACCTGGGGGGAGCCAAGAGGGGCTGTGCAACCCTTCCTGGGTTCCTGGACCAAGGAGGCGACCCTCTACCTTAACTTTTGGAAAGCTCTGCCCATCCACACAAGCCACTCAGAGATGCCAAAAACTCAGCTGTGGCTTGTTTGTGGGTGTGGACTCCAACTGGGGGAAGATCCCTCGGGCTGAGTTGCAGAGGGCTTCCCTGAGGGGGTGGGCTTGTCCTGGTGAGCAACTGGTGTCCCCCATGCTAGGAGGCCACAGGAGCGCCCTCTGTGACACTCATCTCAGAGGGTGGCCTGGACTGTCCCAGCATTTGACAGCATGGGGTGTGGTCTCAGGGGCCTGAGCCCAGAACTGCATGAGGGAGAGCTTGGGAGCCCCTGTCCCGTGCTCCTGGAACCCCCTTCCCCGTTCAGGCAGTGTTTCCTGAGGAACAGAACCTGCTGCCCCTCCTTTCTTGGCTTAGCACAAGCAAACGCACACCCAGTTCCCGAAGGGTGCAGGGAGGCGGGGGGCTGTGGGGTCTGTCTCCTGGCCCCAGTTTGGGAGTGGGCTAAGAGGGTCCTGTGGAAGGAAGTCCTGCAGGGACAACCAGGGCCACCTGGTGATGCTGGAAAGCAGGTGCTGGCACAGCAGGATGAGGGGAGGCCTGAGAAAGGTCCCCTGAGAAGACATGCCAGGTGCCCAAGTCAGACTCAGGCAGCAGAGGCCAGCTGGGCCCCTCTAAAGGCAAGGAGGAGTTGGAGCCCTGGGAACCTAAAGGTGACTCCTGATGTCTGGGAACAGAAGAGATTTGGAGAGATATTTATCAGGATTTTCCCCCAAACTAACCCAGCTGTGGGATTCCCAGGCAGGATTTGGGAGACACCTGGTGCTGGCCACCAGGTCTACCCCTTGGTCCATGCCCTCCTCCCTCTTCCCTCACGCGTGTTTTGCCTGTGGTATCCTAGGAACGCAGGGCTTCGAGCCTTGTGGTCCTGTTACATAACAGCTTCCATCCCATCCATGAGTTCAGCCCTCCGGCAAGCGGGAGCTGCAGCAGGCACACCAAGGAAAGCCTCTGCTCCAGACCCAGGCTCCTGCTGCCCAAATCCACAGTCCCTGCCACTCCTCTGCCACCCCCAGCATACAGGGGAAGGGAGTTTCATAAGCAGTCAGCATCCAGCCGGATTCTTTCAACAGGCCCCTGTCCTGTCCTGGTCCCACATGAGCATGGCACCTGTCAGTGGTCACACACTGGCCATGGGTTCCCCAAATCCAGCAGGCCTAGGAGACAGGCCCAGGGCTGGTGTGACACATGACTCCTCAAACCCCTCTCCGCACTCTGCACCCCAAGACCAAGGGCACACCACTACTGGGACCCTCCCTGGCTTGGAGATGCCTGTCCTGCCACTGTGCCCGTCGCTGCCCCCTCGCCCCCCTTGGGCACCTGCGCAGGTCACCTGCGCTCTTACCTGTTCTCTTCTCCGGCCAAGGCAGAGAGTGCTCCAGCAGGGACTTGAGGACCTCAGGCATGTCCATGGCAGGGGCCACTCGGAACCAGTCGCAGCTCACACAGCCCAGCAGGAGGTGCTTGCTCCAGGGAGTTCAGAAGCAGCTGGAGAGGCAGGGGCCGGCCAAAGCCGCAGGCTAGGGAGGCAGGCGGGGTGGGAGCCTTGAGGCAGCCAATGGCCAGCACCAGTCCCGGCCCGCCCGTCCACCCCCGGCTCGGCCACCTGCCAGCTCCGGCTGCAGCCAGGCCTTCCCTTCCCGCTGCTTGGCAGGGCGGACCTGGCCCTGCGCCAGCTGCAGCACGTGGAGCTGTCGCGCCAATCCTCTGACAGAGAGCCCAGCCTGTTATCTAACTTTGGAAAGGGAAGTTCTCCCCCAGGCTGGGAGCCATAACTGGGGCTGCCAGGTGAGAACGGTAAGCTCTACGCCCACAGCAAGCATGCCTTGGCATGGAGGAGCCCTGGAGGCCCAGGCGTGCGGTGGAAACCATCCCAGGCTGGGACCTCAGGCTCTGAGAAAAAAGGAAGATGACAGACAAGGACGGCACCTCGGACAGCCCAGCACAAGGTCCCCTGTGCTGGCAGATGCTGGGACACGGGTGGACATCATGCCTTCACCTGTAAGCTTGTGAGCCTCAAGGGCTTGTGGCATGTTTTGATGCTGTGTTTATGCCACGCACACGTACCCTACAAGGCAGGCCAGCATACATGTGGCATGCATAACTGGGGCTTTCTACCATCTGCACAGCCTGAAGCTTGTTCCCCAAAAGGAAGTGACAAAACCTGCTGCCTGAGGTTCTTTGGTCTTCACGGGAGAGGGAGAAGGGGCAGGGACCTCGCAGAGAAGTGCCAGGAAACCAGGCACCACCAAAAGAGGGGCAGCTCTGCCAGCCTGGTTTAGGCTTGTCCTGGATGAGGAATCCCTGCTTCCCAGTCATTGTGGCGACCTAAGGTGCCAATTGGCTATTTGCTGTAGTCCCCTCTCATACCCTCCCACCAGGATGCTGGACCCTGTGGTCCTCTGGTTACTTGAATGTGTGGGCAAAGCCGTGGTTCCGGGTGTTAACATCCACCTCAGACCAACATCAGAGCAAAGCCAGGCTTGCCAGGGGATGTCAGGTTCTCGATGCTGCTGTACATTGCTGTGGGATCTTGAGAAAGCTTGGCAGCAGCTCTGGGTCTCAGTTCCAGAACCACCTAATGCAGCGACCTCTGAGGTGCCTTTCAGCTCTAGTTCTATGGCTCTGAAGCTCCACGTGGGCCGCAATAAACATTTGGTTTTCTGCATGGTAGCTGATTTTTTTTTTTTTTTTTTTTTTTTTTTTTTTTTTGAGATTTAAGGTCTTGCTCTGTTGCTCAGGCTGAAGTGCAGTGGTGGGATCATGGCTCACTGCCTCATCCTTGCACGTAGCTGGGACCAGAGGTGCATGCCACCACACGGGGCTTTTGTTGTTGTTGTTTGTTTGTTTGTAAAGAGGGTCTCACTGTTGCCCAGGCTGGTCTCAAACTCCTGGGCTCAAGCCATCCTCCAGTCTTGGCCTCCTGAAGTCCCGGGATTACGAGTGTGAACACTGCCCCTGCCCTGTAGCTGGTTTCTAAGCGGTCCTTTGTTGTTTTCCAAAATTCCATTTTGTAAAGAATCAAAAATACTCCAGGAGCCCCTTCTGGCTTCTTCCTTTCCCAGTGATCCCAGCTTATCTTCTACTTACCCTCCTTCTCTCCCTAATGACCTCCCCAAATTATGCTCTTTCCCAAATTAAAACTTACTTTTAATTTTTGAATACAAAAAATAGTACATGGTTCAAAGCTCAACACCTCCAATAAGGTTTGTTTATTTATTGTGAGACACAGTTTCACTCTGCCACCCAGGCTGGAGTACAATAGTGCGATCTTGGCACACTGCAACCTCTGCCTACCAGGCTCATGCCTAAGCTTCCCAAGCAGCTGGGATTACAGGTGCATGCCACTACACCTGGCTAATATTTGGATTATTAGTAGAGATGGGGTTTCGCCATACTGGCCAGGCTGGTCTCAAACTCCTGACCTCAGGTGGTCCACCCTCCTTGGCCTCCCGAAGTGCTGGGATTACAGGCGTGAGCCACTGCACCCAGCCATGAGTTTCTTATTTATCCTTCCAATGTTTATTTTTGCAAAAGTAAGCATATATATATATGACACAGGCACGCATGAAACTTTTTTTTTTTTTTTTTTTGAGACGGAGTTTTGCCCTTGTTACCCAGGCTGGAGTGCAATGGCGCGATCTCGGCTCACCGCAACCTCCGCCTCCTGGGCTCAGGCAATTCTCCTGCCTCAGCCTCCTGAGTAGCTGGGATTACAGGCACGCGCCACCATGCCCAGCTAATTTTTTGCACTTTTAGTAGAGACGGGGTTTCACCATGTTGACCAGGATGGTCTCGATCTCTCGACCTCGTGATCCACCCGCCTCGGCCTCCCAAAGTGCTGGGATTACAGGCTTGAGCCACCACGCCCGGCGCATGAAACTTTTAATTTTGCAGAGTTGTATGTTTTGACCAGTTGAGAGTGTTTTGTAACTACAAAGGAGATAACCCCTTACTGCTCTGTTTCCAGCCAGAGCCCTGGCCAGTGCCCTCTGCTCTGTGACCCTGGGGGTTAGGGTAAAGGTGAGAGTGGGCCTGGTGTGCAGACCCCCAGCTGACCTGTGACTTGCAGGCAGGGCTGACTGAGGCTGGGCTGCCGAATTCACCATTCCTTGGCCCAGGAGTTCTTTGAGTGCAAGACCGCTTATCACAAAGGTGGAATGGGCAGGTGCCCATTGGGTATGATCTCAAAAGCAATAGGAAGCATGCTGTGTGTCTCAAACATACCCACCTGCTGCAAGACATTTCATTCTTGGAGATTCATTCTTGTGAGCTATCTGCTGGCTCCTTTTAATGTGCAAATGTCCTAAGCTTCTGAGACCATGAATGAATGCTTGTCACATACCTGGCACCAGTCTAAATCCTGTGAGGAATTCAAAGTTAAATAACATACCCGGCCAGGCAACTCCCTATCCTTAGAGAACTTTCATACCACCGGGAGTCCATGTTGGCAGTTCCCCAGTTGGCACTCACAGTGTCCAGCTGGCAGCAACACCTAGGTCAGACAGGGACCACACCAGTGGGCTGCTGGGCCAGGCAGCCAGGGAGGCCAGAAGTAGTGGGAAGGGGATATACATACCTAGGTACATATACATACCTAGAGACCAGGGAGCCACATGCCGGATCTGTTGGGATTGTCTGCACTTCTTGGACTTTCTTTCTAGCTCAGGGGTCTGATGTCCACTGCAGATGGTCTGGGGTCTGTTGGTATCCTTATCAATGCCACTGAGCCCATTCCCATCCCCTACGCTTGAGTTTTCATCGACTGTACCTCCAA